CACATTCAACACCTCTAGAACAGACTGCACCCTCATTAACGCACAGCACACTCAACACCTCTAGAACAGACTGCACCCTCATTAACGCACAGCACACTCAACACCTATAGAACAGACTGCACCCTTCATTAATGAAGTCCTACTTTAATTTCACCACAATAGTATTATTATTAATAAAAAAAAATATTATGATATGGAATCTTTACAATAGCTTCTCAAAGCACTTTACAGAACAGAGAGATGCACAGTGAGAGGAGATAGTAGAAGGGGGTTTGATAAAACAGTAGAAAAGCAAAGGGGCAGAAACAGACCCAGGTAAATTAAAGCTCTTAATGAATAGAAGATTGTGAGTCTGAATTTAAAAGAGCCCAGGGAAGGTGAGTTATGATATCCACAGGGATAGAATTCCAGAGCTTTGGGGCGCAGCAGGAGAAGCCCTGTCACCCAGAGTGCTGACTTTGGAGACAGACAGGAGACCATAATTAGAAGAGTGAAGGTTGTGAGGTGGGGAGTAGGATGTAGTAGCTCTGGCAGGAACTAAGTTGTCAAACCATGCAGAGGCTTTTAGGGGAGCATGAGGATTTTAAAGTCAACATGAAACCTGGTAGGAAGCCAGTGTAGGGACTCCAGGACAGGAGTAATGTGGTCACTTGCACTAGACCTGGTGAGGACTCTGGCTGCCAAATTCTGGACATACTGTAGTTTGTTCAGTGTGGGCTTAGAAGCTCCACTGAGTGGAGCGTTACAGTAGTCAAAGCGTTACAACTATAGAGCGGTACAGTATTATCAACACAATTAGGAACCCCTGGCCTCACAAGTGCATGTCATTGGTGCTTCCCTACCATCCTAACACCCCTTCCATCCTCAGGATCATTAACGACAACTTCCCCATCCTACAGGATAATCCCTCCACTGGTACCCTTTTTCTGACCGCCCCATCATCTCATCTCATATCACCAACCACCTAATCTGCATCACCTTCTTGTTCACAGCTCCCTTGACTGCCCTCAGCAACCATCCACACCAGGCACTTTCCCTTCCAACAGAGCTTGCTGTATCACCTGCAAGTACATATCTAACACCACACTCATTCAAGGCCCCTCAGGACAATTCCAGATCACTCAGATGACGTCTTGTACCTCCAGTAATCTTATTTGGTGCCTCTCTTGCAGAAAATGCCCAGCCAGGTTGACTCGGAGAACGCATCAGAGAACATGTTAGGGCATTGAGGATCAAAGATTTCTCCAAGCCCATAGTTTCTTATTTCACCTCTAATAGCCATGATCACACTAATCTCTGTATCCACAAAGAAGGGTTTCTTAACTCCTATTGCAGAAAGACATTAAAAACCCAAATTATCCTGAAACTAGGATCACACCTTCCGAGATAAGGTTACTGCATTTCTGGGCCAATAAACTTGTCTTCTTGCAGTTTAAATGAAGGAAATTGTGAGTCATACATGTGTTTATGTCCGAGAAGCAATTGGAGCAGAGACATGTCAGTGTCAGTTAAGTATGGACGTACTGTACTGTAGATTTGAGTATCATCAGAACTCATACATGATGAAGGGTAGGGAGCCCAGTGTCAACCCCTGAGGAAGACCAGACTTAATGAGTCCAATTTCCGAGCTACAATCGCCAAGAGACAAAGTGAAAGTAATCAGTGAGGTAAGACTGGAACCATTTAAGAACAGTGTCAGAAACTCCAAACACAGTCTCAAGACAAGAAAGTGTGATGTCATGGCTGACGGTGTCGAAAGCAGCACTGAGTTCAGTAAGAATGAGGATAGAAAGAGAATGAGAATCAGAAGCCATTAGAAGATCGTTAGTGACTTTGAGCAGGCCAGTTTCTGTGCTGTGAAGTTGTCTGAAACCAGATTGGTGGGGTTAAAATAGGTTATTTAACTGAAATGTAACAGCTCGTTCTAAAACATTTGCAAGAAAGGTTAACTTGGATATAGGGTGAAAGTTGTTCAGGCTGTCCAGAGCCATGATTATTTTTCTCACATAGGGGTAACAGCAGCAGTTGTGAAGGCCACTGGTTCCACATCAGTACTCAAGGATTCATTTATTATATTGAGGACTATGGGGCAGAAAGCAGTGAAACAGGAATGAAATAAAGTGCTGGGAAGGGGATCCAATAGGCAGGTGGTGGATTTCATACACAAAAACCAGTTAACTGTGGTATAATACCTTCACCTGCTTTATTGAATCCAAGACTCACACTGGGCCATGCTGGAGTCAGATCTGACACAGAACATGTTTCTAGGAAGCAGACAGGATGTGAGATGTGGTCAGACACATGGTCTCCCTGGTCCAGAACTTAAGCCAGTGGTCAAGCACGTCAGCCACAAACTAGTAGCAACCGGACTCATCAGCACTGCTGAAGTCCTTTGTTTTGTGGATAAGACATCAGGGGTACAGAGTGTGAATTTTCCAGGGTGACTCTAAGGGGTGTCTCTGTGATGTGATTCTCTTACAGCAGAAATGTCCTGAGTGTCTCTGTTTCTCCACAGAAGCAGCTTGGGGTGACACAGACACAAACCCAGCAGAGAATCCAGGAGAGAGAGGAGGAGCTGCAGGAGCTGAGACAGGCTGTAGAGTCACTCAGAGTGGGTATTCACCAGAGCAGTGGACACACTGACACATTTCCAAAGTTGGACACTGGACAGTACCCTTAGAAAACACAACATACAGCATAATGTTGTTTGAGTGTTTTCATGTGTAATAATCCACTGTGTGTCTCCTCCCTCAGAGCTCTGCACACACAGCAGTACAGGACACTGACAGGATCTTTTCTGAGCTGATCCAATCCATTAAGAGAACATGCTCTGAGGTCACAGAGCTGATCAGAGCACAAGAGAGGGCTGCAGTGAGTCAGGCTGAAGGACTTCTAGAGCAACTGGAGAAGGAGATCACTGAGCTGAAGAGGAGAGATGCTGAGCTGAACCAGCTCTCACACACAGAGGATCACATCCATTTCCTCCAGGTAACATCACTGCTCTGTGACTCTGCAGTAC